GGGGGAAGCAAAGAGCAACAGGGAACAGCAGTTGGCCCCTAGCATGTCCTCACAGGAATGCCAGGGGCACCACACAGTGAAACCAGCCCAGCCCAGCCACCCCTCTTAATGCTTCCTTAGGATGGATTTGGCATCACCCCACCCCAGGTGTCCTAGCAAACGCCCCCCAAACACCCTAGCAGCACGAGCACTTGGGTGGCTACCAGTGACACAGTCCCACCAGCCCAAATGGTACCGGGTGAGAGGTCGAAACACAGTGACAGAACCACAATCAGCAGTACCAAGAATCCCAAAAGGACTCCCCCAACGCGACAGGGGTTTTTCTGCTTGCGTTTCCCCAGGGAGTCTTGGGCACAGGCCTCTGGCTCCCTGATGTGTACACAAGTCACAGCTGTACACCGCCAAGGGAGATACAGGCAGGGGAGTTAAACGCAGGTTGTCAAATCAGCATCAGCAGTGAAAACACCACTCCCTGCTCCTGATCCAGCTTTCGCGTTACCCCGCAGCAGCCCTGGCTCCCCTGGTACACAAGGCTCGTACTTCTAAGGGAAAGAAACAGGGGAGCATTTGAAAAATCAACCACCCACAAGCCACACACAAACTCTCCCCCCCATCTGCCACCGAGCAGTCACCCACGCCCTCCTCGGGGATCGCCATCGCTCCTCACAGAGCCCAGGGCACTGCATGCCAGGGAGAAGCACGCTCGTCACAGAGCGATGCAGGGATGCAGCTCGGCATCTCTACCTTCTTGGACTGGAAGCACCCAGCTGCCCCCCAGCACTTACTAACACACTAGTTGCCCCATTTGCCAAGGGTCCGTAGGTGAGGTAGGAATGGCCCGTTATCCATCCAATGTCGGCCGTGCACCAGTAGACATCCTCAGGTTGGTAATCAAACACGTATTTAAACGAGGTGGCAGCAAAAAGCATGTATCCACCCACCGTATGCAGCACGCCCTACGAGGAGAAGGCACGCAGCCGTCAGGGCAAGCTCCCACCAGGGCCCTCGCCCTCCCAGGCCAAGCTGAGCATCACCAGCCCACTGAGCCCGAGCAGCAGCAGCCAGCACAGCCCCTTTCCCAGGACCTCTGCGGCTCCTCTTCCTACTGGGGCCTCCCAGTGTGAGCCTCCCCGGTCCCACAGCTGCGGTGTCACCGCGGGGCAGCCCAGCCCCGCGGGCTGTCAGCTGGGAAGCGAACCTTGGGTTTCCCGGTTGAGCCGCTTGTGTAGAGGATGAAGAGTTCGTCCTCCGAGTCGCACCACTCGGGCTCGCACTCCGTGCTGGCACTGCTCATCAGCTCGTGCCACCACATGTCCATGGCTGGGTTCCAGGGCGTCTGAGGAAAACAAAAGATTGGAAATGGGCGCATCCAAAGCAAGGTGGGGGGACAACCGGCGCAGCCCCAACCTCGCCCCCACCGTGGGCCATCGAGGCGGATGTTCACAGCGCAGCTTCTGCCGCAGAGCTGTTCGCTGCAAACCATGCACCACAGCTGCAGCTCCCGCTCCAGAAGCTCCTTTTCTCAGCCCACAGCCAGGAGGGAAACCTTTACACGCGGTCTGGCCGCAAGACCCGAAGCAGATTGTCCAGCCCGCTGGCAGCACCAACGAATCCTCCTCGGCAGCAGCAGCGGCCCCG